AGCCTGTATCTTAGTAATAATCCACTTCGTGTTTGATAAGCCTCAAGTATGCTGCCTTCTTCCAACTGGGGAATAAAAAATGAAAAAGGTGGTGCAAAGTCTTGTGCGTTACTTTTAAAAATTATTATTAAATTAGAAAGTATCAATGACGTACTGAAAAAAGATGTGATAATACATATCCATGGATACGTAGACCCTCGTAAATGACACTGGATACAAGGTACAAATGCTTCATATGGACCTGGACTCAATAACAAGCAAGCAAACTGACACATTTCAAGGGCAGAACCCTCTTCCTCTGAGCTATGAAGAGGGTTTGGTCCTCCAAACACATGAACTTGCTTGCACATACAGACATATCCGTATGGCTTTTTTGAGTATGTCATTGACAGTTTAATCATTTAAAAATAGTTTTTAATGGTAACACACAAGACTTTGACCCCCTTTTTCATCTTCTATTCCTTCCATGGTCTACTGAAAACTGTTGGAAAGATTTTACCTCCACTTCCTGTCCAGACAAGTACAGAAAGTGATGGGGTGGCGATTAAGCCCCAAAAGAGCACCAATATTTTTTGTAGCTGAAGCAAAATTAAAGGTTTTGGTTGAAGTGGGACTTTAAAGTTGTGTGCACTTACAATGTGCATACGAATAGTATCTGCAGCTGCTGAAAGCAAAATTCTGGCTCAGCCTTAACTGCCTCCTGCACTTCATTTTGTCTTTGATTTCCCCGCTGACACTGTCAGCTCCTTCCTTCATTGGATGCCTCCTGTAGCAAGCCAGGTACTAAAGAGGTGTCCTAGCTTGCTTGATGCTGTTGGGTCTTAAGCTGGGCTGTGTGCATCTATAGACATACATAGCCCCAGTAAGCCACACTCCTGCTCCCTTCTCACAGGAATTTGACTGATGGCAGTAGAAACCTATGACTTTGCTGCCCTCAGTTTCTCCTGTAAAAGCAAGAAGTGAGGGGAGCAGTGCTGGAGCTGGAAACAGCTCTGATGACATGGAGCCGGGTGAATATTTAGGGATTGGGGGGGAGGGTCTGGAGTAGGACAGTTTGTTGGGCATTTTTTACATTAAAGTGGAACTTCACTCTCTCAATAAACATTGGATATTTTGAACTCTTATGCTGCTAGCTTTAGTAAATAGATAAATAAGTATATCATATGTACATGTTCTAAACTGCTTTTTACATTTCTTTCATTACTTCCTGGTTTCCATGCCTAGGCAAATGATGTCATACATCCCAGGAGTCTTCAGGAGGGAAGGAGGAGTTTTCTTAGCTAAGCACAACCCTCCGGTCTGCATGCCCGAGCTAAGGGCAAATTAATTCCAATTGCAACATGAATCATTTTGTCCTTACAATAGTTGGCCATGGCCAATAGTTGGCCATGGCCAGAAATGATGGGGGATGTATTTCAAAGTGATTTCTCAGCAAAATAAAGCATGGAGACATGAATCGATAGAGGAGTTTGCTTTGAATATTACAAATGAACTAAACAGAAGTTTTGGTGCTCAGATACAGTGTAGTTCCATTTTATTGCTGAGAATGCATTAAGTTCAAAACCATTTAGACTTTAGCACTATTTTAAAGCCTGCTAGTCAGTGGTGAGGCCAAGGGCAAACTTTTTAGCTGCATGTAAAGCCAAATTACAGTATTAGAAAAGAGTATAGATAGTGGTCCAATCCAGGTATGAGGATTGAGGAACAAAATAACATGTCATTATTTAATCACAGGTAAACATACTCTTTAAACATTGCTTTCACAACTGATTCCTTCCAGAGCACCTATTTTATTAGTATGCAAATTCTCAGAGAAAAGCTGCATTATGTGGATTGCATGACTCGTGGAAAAGAAAAGTGCTAGATCTAAGTCTGTAGAAAAATTGTCTTTAGTAGTGTGTGGCTATACAATATTGTTCCTTTAATTGGTAACTAGCGATTAGAATATGTTCTTTTCTGGCAATAAAGGAAAAAACAAACCTACTGAGTACAGCTCAGAGGTTGGGCAAAAAGCAGCTACTAAAAATGGCAAATGAGGCTTGCAGTAGTAGACTTATGCAAACAATTTATTAATGGTATCAAAAAAATAATCTATTATCAAAAATAGCTCAGTATTAGAAACACGCAGTGCTTATTCACCAATGCAAAAAATACCAAAGTGCATTAAAAACAATGTACACCAAGTAAATATCCGGACATCTATTTTAAACATACATTATATACAGTATACACTGAAAAGGAATCCAGTGCGGTCAACCGCCTCATCTAGTACATAAACCAACTTCAATCCAGCTGGAGATGCAATGCATATATGCCCATAGGCCTCACACTACTGCCTATTCCTACTAATTCACCCTAATATCTAGCTAATGCACTACATCTCCCCAATGGGTAGTGAAGAGTCCCAATGGACATGTGGAAGTAAAATTAGACTTTCATCCACTGCACCAGCTGGTTGGCATTTAGTATATGCCTGAATGTAATGCAGATAGAGGCAGCACAAAAGCAAAGAGACTTGCAACATAATCAATAGTCATTCAACAGCAGCTAGACGTCTCAAGGAGTCTTGCTTAGTAATGGTTTATCAGCTGGTATATCCTCCTTGCCTTTGAACCGTCATCAAATGCATAGAGGTTGAATGGTTTTGGCAATAAGCCTTTTATTCCTCTAATGAATGACTATTGAAGCAGAGCACAAGCAAGATATCAAAGGGATCAGGTCAAGACAACCAAATAGTAAACAAGTAGGAAAACGCTTAGCAGGATAACGAATGACTATTGAAGCGGAGCACAAGCAAGATATCAAGGGGATCAGGTCAAGACAACCAAATAGTAAACAAGTAGGAAAGCGCTTAGCAGGATAACGAATGACTATTGAAGCGGAGCACAAGCAAGATATCAAGGGGATCAGGTCAAGACAACCAAATAGTAAACAAGTAGGAAAGCGCTTAGCAGGATACAAGCATTCTCAGCCAAGCAGTCACTCAGGAAGTGTATAAGTAGCAAAGTGTCCACCCTTATCAATAGCCCCAGATCAACCCTGTCAGATGGTCGTCCATATGGGGAGTGGGCTTTCATAACATTGCTTGTCTACTTGGCAGTATGCAATACAGGATATCCCATCTTACCACACTGCTGGCACTTCATTCCTTCCCTATACACTTACCATCCATGGTACGATGTAGTAACTCCTTGCTATAGGTAGCCACTCTGTTGGTAGCCCAGGCTCCCATGCTTCCTAAAGTCCTGCTGTTGTGCAGGTAGGCATTGGGGCTGTACCTACATGACATTACTAGACGTACCGAGGACATCAATGCGTTTTGCTAACATACAAGCGTAACTTCGACAGGACCACAGGCAGCTTACAATTCACCCTCTTACATTGGGTTGGCCTAATAGCCGTAGCCATCAATTTCACATTTCTTAAAGTGATATTGTACAATTTCCTCCTGACTAGGTTCAAGTCCCCATTCATACTTGTATCTTCCACCTTTGGGATCAATCACCATAAAGGGGCTCTCCAAGTGCAGATAACTTTAAAGATTAAAAATCAGCAATTGGAAATGATAAAAATAGGACATGCTTCTCTGTGTAATAGGTAAGTATTCCCTAAATCTATCCTCTCAGATATATAATATTCAAACTAACCTTCCTGTCTACTATCAGAAGAGTGAGCGATGCATTGCAATGCACTACAGTACACTGAAATAACATACAGGTAAAAAAAAAAAAAAATGACCTGTGCACTATAATAGCTTTATTATAACATCTTCATTTGTCATGGCAGCACACAAGTGTTCTTTACTGCCAAGTGGTGTGGTGTGGTGTGGACTATCGCTTTCCAAGCCTTCCCATGGTTAATGTTATAGCTGATCAAATATGTTTTAAGTTTTGTTGGATTTTCCTTTGTTTTAACCTCTTCCCCGCCGCCCTATAGCAGAAATACTGCTACAGGGTGGCAGGGCTGCACAAAATCATGTACATATACATGATTTTCATTTTTAGTAGGGGGCGCGCGCCAAGCTACCCACTCCTCCGTTGGCGGCTACAGATGTTGATCACTGGGTGATCCCCCGCCGCCACCCCCGGCTATCACTGTGAAACAGTGACAGGGGAGAGATCTGTGTGTAAACAACAGAGGTCTCTCTCCTGCCAGCAGTAACATGCTGCTGTGTATTTCTCTGCACAACAGAGAAATACACAACAGCATGTTTCCCCAGTAAAACACACACTGCACATCTTGTAAAATAGCACACAGTTAACCCTTTGATCGTCCCAGATGTTAACCCCTTCCTGTCCAGTGTCATTAGTACAGTGTCAGTGCTTTTTATTAGCACTGATCACTGCACTAGTGTCATTAGGTTGTCAGTGGCAGTTAGTCAGCCCCCCCCCCCCCCCAGTGTCAGAATGCCCACCGCAGTCCCACAGTCCTGCTATAAGTTGTTGATCGCCGCCATTACCAGTATTAAAAAAAAATAGCAGTATATATACCGCCATTTGTAGATCCTATAACTTTCACGTAAACAAATTAATTTACACGTATTGGGATTTTTTTTAGCAAAGACATGTAGCAGAATACATTTTGGCCTAAATGTATAATGAAATCGGATTTTTAAATTTTTTTTCCTGGATATGTTTTATAGTAAAAAGTCAAAAATATAGTTTTTTTTTTTATAATTGTCGGTCTTTTTTTGTTTATAGTGCAAAAAATAAAAAAGCACAGGTGATCAAGCTCTGTTTGTGAGAAAAAAAGACATTAATTTACGTACAGCGTTGCATGACCACACAACTGCCAGTTAAAGTAACCTGGCGCCATATCGCAAAAAAATGGCCTGGTCAGGAAGAGGGGTAAATCTTCTGGAGGTCAAGTGTTTAATATGTTGCTATTAATAAATGTGTATTTACATGCTAATGCCCTATGTACACCTTTCACTTTCTTGATCTTAATTACTCTGCAGGTACAGCACAGCACCATCGACTGTCTTCTCCCTGCATCCTAGAATGAGTAATTGCAGCAGTCGTGCACTGACCCTACTCAGTAGTGTCTTTGGAGCGTGTGGTCTCCTTCTTGTCGGCATAGCCGTTAGCACTGATTACTGGCTGTACATGGAAGAAGGAATCGTTCTACCTCAGAATCAAACTACTGAAGTCAAGATGGCATTACATGCAGGACTCTGGAGGGTGTGCTTTGTAGCTGGTAAGTCTATCAATATTACAAGGATTCACAATGAAATGCTGCTTACATCTGTATTTTTGAAAGTTTCTGTTGGTGGGGTAATTGTGCAGGTATGAATCTACGTAGAGATGAGCAGCAATTGGTGTCAAGCAGACTCTCATTTGAAGATGTGTGAATTTCCTTTCTTCAGTGTTAGGAATCCTCCTGGATAAGCTGTGGATGGGAGCATAGGCTGCAGGGCCAGATGTTGCTGGCCTTGTTTTGCTTCCCACCCATTTGTGTTCAGCTATTCTTTCTACAGTTAAAGTGGACCTCTTGGTTGCTTTATATAATGGGAGGTGCAGTGCAGTGGCAGTGATCACACAGAGTCCAGCTAAAGAAATAGAACTTGTATTAACAGCCAAGTCAGAATGCAAACAGCCCGGTGGGGAAAGCACCAGACTGGGGACATGCACAGAAAGTCTTGGAAACGTAGAATAGAGTGGATCTTGAGCGTGCCAACAGCATTTGTCTTAAACGGCAGAATGTGGCCTCGCCAGTCTGCACCCAAATGGAAGGATTCCAGGAAGGGTGGCGTGTCCCTATCCTGTCCCTGCTCATCTGGAACTTTACCTAACACTACTTACTTTCCCTGACAGACAAGTGACCTGTCCCTGCACTACCCACTTACAAAAATGCATGCCAAGTTTTAAATAGACTCTGCCTGACCCAAGATGGTCACCAGAGTCACACGAGGTGTCAGCATCCAGTGACCTAGGAAACCATAGAGGATTATGCTACTCATGGCTTCCTCTCCCTCTGCAATGCTGCTTCAGTAGAGCACCACCTACAGTAGAGAAAATAGACTGCATCTGCGTACATATACAGTAAGTCTGCACAAATACATTTCTGACATTGCACAATATACAGCAACAATATATTTTTAAAAAATGCTGCACCCTTTAATAAAAACCAGTACTTGATCACCAGGCAAGTGACTTTGCTGTAGGCAAGAGGAAGCATTTCTTCAGCCTCCTATCCCCCAGTGATCGGAATGCAGCACAGGAATCAGGATATATGTTTGTGTCATCTCCACGCTAACAGCTCAATCAAGGAATTAGATGCTGACCTGAATGATGTCTAAACAAAGATGGCTTTGTCCTTCTATAGAGCAAGGACAGAAGAAGACATTGTCAAGAGGAATACAGTGATCTCTATGAGAGAAAATACATATTTGTAGATCTTACACTTACACATTGCTTAGCATGCATGTATGCAATTAACATGAAAAAATGTATTTGATCCTAGTTCCACTTATAGCCCCACATCTTTTCAATTAAATGAGTGTGCCAACACATGTTCATTCCTTTGCTATTGTTTTTAATGGTGCTAGTTCTCATGTGTGTGCGTCATTGTTCTGCATGTGCCACATTTTCCAAGTCATTTTTTAGTGTGTCAACACACATTGTAGGCACTGTTGAGTGCAATGTTAGTGCTTGAAAATGCAGATAACATCCGTTTTATTGTGTTTTTAGCTCACGGTAACTATCCTCATGTTGCAACCTCATCTTTGAACAAGAAAGCACAGAATGCATGAAACTGCAAAAAAAACACATGAAAATGTGTTTGAAATATGCATAAAAATGTATAACAAACACATCCAGCTTTTTGATGGTTTCTGTGTCACTAGGAATACCAGTGCTCTCATTCTGCCTCTACCCTTCCCTCCCCTTGGCTATGATGGTTCAATCACTGGATCATAATCCCACACTCCTCATTCATCCCTAGCTTAAAGATTCTAATTCTGCCTGCTTATCCCAGGTACAGCAGTTGAAACTCAAGACTACAACATTATTGCATACCATATATTATTCAATGTTATACTTTATAAAAAAAACCAAAACTGTGATAGTGATCTATTGGCCGTTCACTAATGTAGTGGGCCAAACAATCTACAATGTACAGTCTTCATTTGAAATGACACCAGATGGTATAGCATTTTTGGGGTTACTAATGTCCCCTTTTACCAGGGGTTTGAAAGCTGTATAGCACCAGAAATGATGACTCTTGGAGAAAGGTTTTGGGAGCTTATTATCCTTTGTGTTAATACTGTTGCTGGGATTCTGCTTTGGTCTGTTAGTCAAGTCCTTCAAAAGGTTTTAGTACATGGTCCATGTTCTCCATCTCCACAGGTTGACAGTGTTGTTGTTGAAAAGTGGGTCCATTGCTTCTCTATAGAGTAGAGCCACCCTAAGACAGTAAGAGGGAGATTTACTAAAACTGGTGCACTCAGAATCAGCTTCTAACTTCAGCTTGTCCAATTAAGCATTGATAGAAAAAAAAACCCTGGAATTGATTGGTTTCTATGCAGATCTGCATCTGATTTTGCACTCTCTGGTTTTAGTAAATAACCTCCTAAGTGTGTTACTGGTCAGATCACCAGGAAAAAAAGGGAAAAAGTGTAAATAAAGCAAACTAATGCAGTCACCACATTTAAAATGATTGAAACCCCTTCCATATACTTAGTGAAGTGACTAGCATCAGGTGATACACAAAGATGAAACACATCTAACATACAGTAAGTTGTACATAAGTTGTACCTGTTTATCTGTGGCCCTTTCTTATCTACAACCTTCAAGAACACACGCTTTATACAGCATCTCTTAGCTCTGAAAAGCAAGGGATGATGATCTGAAGTCTCACAGTGTAGTGCTCAGTGGGGAGAGTTCTGAGCCCTGATTGGAGGGAAGGGACACACACCCCTCCTCACAATTCACGGGAACATGCACAGCTGTGGCTGTGAATCACAGGCTGTGTGCTAGAGCTTTTTTCCCTGTCTCCTTCCTATCTCTCAGGGTTAGGAAAAGCAGACATATGTGACTTATGCAGGTAACAGAAGAAGAAAAAAAAACATTGAGTGCTTTGGATAAAGACAAGTACACAGTATAGAAGGGTGTGCTTTGTTCATATTTCATGTCTGCAGTTTACAACCACTTTAAGGAATGGTAAGCCTCTTTTGGGGTTTAGATACATTTTTAGGAGTCAAAGGTTAGTGCATACATTCTACAGTATTGTGTAGGCTAACTGTAGTGCAATAACTCACAGCTGTTATGACTTATGAAGTGCACGCTTGTTAATGAATTGTGATACAAATTGGCAGTAGGTGAGGCAACAATCTCACAAACACTGCAGTTGGCATTTTTTAACTAAACTATGACAGTATCAGGGAAAAGAATAAACATTAATTTGGGGGAGGCAGTCTTTTGCAAGGCAGAAGGCTTTGTGACACCTAGTCATTAAACTGTAACTTTGGCAAAGCTGGCAATGTCTGGCCACCGATTCAACAGAAATGGACAATGGCACTGCTTAGATCTGAGCCAAGGTGGGCAGCTAAATCAATGGCTGCACTATGCTTTCCTCAATTCAATTTCACTGCTGTCAAATCCATTTGGAGAAGCAGTACCAAGACTGACAAAATGTGACATAGACCCTTTATAAGTTTTCTTTACAGCAGCATGCAGTACTTAGCCAGAATGATTTATAACTGTAGCAATACCCTTATGCACCTTTCTGTATTGGCCAGCCCTAACTGCACACACATCAAAGCACTGTATAATATATTTCCCTCAAAGGTATTACAAGATAGATAAAGAATGCATTCCGTATTTGCAAGTGATAAGTATGAAAAGTTGTTGCTCTCATTTTCCCATAATGATGTCTCTTACATGAATTTGAATAATACATGATTTGCATTCATTTACTTATTTTGTGGAAAAACTGTGTGCAACACCCAATTTGCTCACTAGCATGTCAAAGACGAAAGGCTTAACTTTTGGCTTTGCTCTAATTGGCCATGCTCTAATTGTTACACATCCTTTCTATTGCAGTTAGCATTGTCTCCTGTCTTTTAAAGGCTTGATTCTTTGAAGCTTGCTGCTCAATTATACATTAATTTTCTTTTTCTATAAGCAAATCTCAGTAATCATCTTGGATTTATACACTGTGCTTATAAATATTAGTCTTAGTGATAGGGTTTTATTTAGGGTAAGCAGTGAGTGTGAGCTACAGTATTTAAAGGCAACATAATAAAAAATATCTTTCAGCTGCTGAAATTAATATGTATTAGCTATGCATGTAATTTTTTACATTCTAGTCATATTTTCACATATCTTCTAGAACCATATGGTACTCCTAAAACCCAAGGTGCGCTATTGTGCACAGACTTGAATCTGGCTGCACAATTATGGGTTGTTTGCATACTTTCCTGCTGGTTTGTTTTTTGTCTTTTACTCATTATTTATGTCTCCATGACTGCTGAGAAGCATAAAAGTTAAATTAAAGTGGCCTTACCCAAATATTAATTTTGAATTGGAAAAGGGCAAGGTCGCAGCTCTATTCTTTATTGCCATTAAACATAAACAGCCAATATACATTTTCTGTCCCAGTCATAATTTTACTGTGAGCACCTAAACAAAATTCACAAAAAAAAATTGAATGCCTGTCCTCGCCATGAATGCTGGACTGATATTGGACAAACCCAACAACCTATTTAAGGGAATAAACCATGAGTAGCCATCTGTTCGCTGGCAAGGTACCAACCGCCAATAAATATGTGACAATGAAGCAGAAAACAAGGTGGGTGGTTGGGTGGTAAACTTGTCAGATGCGTTTTTGAAGGTCAGTGATTATAGTCCAGATCTTGAAGCCCACCTCTTAATCCAATAAGACCAGTATATAAATCAAAATAACTGTAACCTGCTGAATCTGCAGAGCCTCTTAGGATGCCATGCTCCCAACAGGCAAGACTTCCTTTTTCAAGTACTTAAGATGTTGTCATTTCCACTTGTTGGTATTGGTATCTCCTGTTTTTGGTGTGTCCCTCAGCCAGCAAGGGAGAGACTCCATAAATGTGAGTTGGTGTTTCAATTGGTTGACTCTGCCACTGGCGAGATGCTGCCAGCATCAGAATTGCCTTTTAAGGCTCGTTTTCAATGCTTATTGAATACCACTTCTGTTTTTGAAGTCAGCTAATCTCAGCTGTT